CCTTTACACAGCACTATAATTTCTTTTACTGAAATGGAGATCTAAAGATAGCAAACAATGATTAGAACCTAAACTGTGTCTTTGGTGGTTTAACTACTGCTGGCTTTTATAAATTATTTGAGCCTAAAGTCACAAGTTTCAGAAAAGCTCTTGAGGCTTGCCTTCCTCTTGCTGTCAGTAAGAATTGCATCTAAATCATTTCCCACAAACAGGTGTCCCTTGTCAGTTTCTTCTTTATGAGAAGATCATTTCCCTGTGGCAATCCTTTTACTGTCTAATAGCAAGGTGGTTTAGGGCAGCTTTATATATCTTTAATCCCCTCTAAAACTTGTAGTCTTTGGGTTATTTATTAGTCACTTACCATTCTCCACATGCTCTAATAATTAATACATTTTTCTATGTTGAAGTCATTTGCGTACTTATTAGGTATTGGCAATCATGAGCTACACCCTTTTCCTAATGGGACTACTGAGCAATACCATTAAAATCAATGCATCTACACATCAATGTTAGGACTTCTGTAAAGCAGCATTAGGTATAGTCAAATCTCAATGTTGAAATATTTGAGGATTCATTTTCCTTTACTTGTGACAGATTTTTAACTGAATTCCAAGACTGAAAACACTCATGAATTGTTATGGTTCACTGTCTTCATCTAATGTACTCAACAGGTCCTAGATATTGCTTATTCTGAATTTAGACATTTCTTTCAAAAGTCTCATATTATATACAGAATTATACTCATTTTTCTTTTTTAAAAAGCCACTTTCTTCCAAGCCTCTTACTTTACTTTTTCTTCATCTTTGTAATATCGTCATGGTGCTGTGGTATCCTCACTGGAGTAACTCAGCCTGAATATTAAAATCACTCACTTGTGCAATCATCAATTCACTAAAACATTTCTGTGAACCCTGAATCTGAAAAATACACCACTTAATGTGAGATCAACAAATACAATGAATGTATCAATTTCTAACAAAATGCATTACAGTTAGAGACACATTGCCATTGATCTCCTTCACAATCCTCCCTCTCACGTCAAACACACTTTTCTCATCAGCGTTGCCACTTTCTGAAGGAGTACAGTTCCACGAGAATCTTCCGTTGCACCTTTGGCGTGGGCTCTATATTCTGAACCAATTCCAAAGGCTTTACCTTTCACAGTCATTTTGACTTGGGGGAAAAGCCAGAAGTCGCACTGGGTCAAGTTCGGTGAATACAGTAATATTCCCATGCGCCTGCCTTTCCACTGAATGGCACTCTGCAGCAGCATTCACCATAGTTCTGATTACAGCTCATGAAAAAAAAACCTCCCGAAAGAGGACCTCCAGAAGGGCTTCCGAAAGCGCCACGAATGATGAGTGTGTTTTAAGTGAAGATAAATATTTTGAGAATGATTAGCGAGAAACTGCCTTTTAATATAATCATTTTCAAATGTAAACATTCACTATAATATTTCGATTGCTGCTTGTATTTGGCACTGCAGAGACTAAAAACATTCATAAGTCATGCTTCACGCATTCACCCTGTAATATTCTAAGGATGAAAATGAAAGCAAAGAGAAACAAGCAAAGGAAAAATCACCGCGGAACTTCCTCTCTTCTAATTTACACATTCAAGTGCCTCTCGCTTCATTTCTCTTTAGCACCCCAAATGCTTGGACCAGATTGGAGCTCACTCATTACTTCTTCCAAAGTGCTTGTCCGTATAGTCCACAAACAGTTCATATTGTTTATGTGCCCCGCAGAACTTACCGCCAATTCTCATTTCTTCAAAATGTAGCTCTATCCATCCATCTAGCTGGATGGATAGAGATACTTGCATTGATTGATATAGACAGATAATCTTTACATGAATAGCCATTAATTTTAAAACCCCATACAGAAGTTTTTTGAATGGCTTGGTAAAGATATAGCATTTTATAAATGTGGAGCCTTTAAATAAATAAACACTATTTTTATAGTTAAAAAGGTTCTTCAAAGTCAGTGGCAATATCAAAATGCATTATTTTCATTTGCAAACAAATACAGTAAAAAATAAAGAAGGAAAGGAGAGAGGAAAGGAAGACTGAAACAAGGGGAAGAAGCAAAGGAAGAGACAAATAACAAAGTTAAGGTAAATTTTCCACATTGATTACACTGCAAATCTCCAACTGAGTATGTGCTTTGCATGTTTTTGTACAAAATCCTATAAATGACAGCAGCTCAGATGTTTACTTACCAAATTCCTGTAACACTTCACACACTTGAGGGGGATAACTAATATTGATAGTCTGCCTTTCTTCAAGTACAGCTTATAATTTTTTTTAAGTATAAAACTGTTTCAGGAGAAAAATCTGTTGTGTAACAAAGGCTGAATATCAACATTATAACTTTGTACTTTTAATATTTCAATCAAGGAGGTTACAATGATATAACTGATTTTAAAGGTTTAATTTTTTCCTTAATTTAATAGCAATGGGGGTGTAGGCCAATGCGATAAAAATAATGCATCTTGTGTAATTAGTACTCCTATTGCTTTCAAATTAGTTCTGTTAAAAGAAACCAATGCTTCTAAATTTTTATGGAATGACCACATGACTCAATCTAAAGTAAGCAGTATACACAATCAACATATCATAAAGAATTCAATGTGAGAGTGTGCATGATATTCCTATTTAATATGGTCTTAATTATTGCAATATCTAGTTATGGTTTCTTAGAGGTTACAGTGAATTAAAGATTACATTCCAGTAAAAGACATGAGAAAAGCCCTGGGTTTTAAATTGTAATTATTGTACATTAAGAAAGATTAATAAGAAAGAAGAAGATGTAAATAATAAGAAGTAAAAACAAGGAAAAGTAGCTGTCTTGGTTAATATGCAAGATCAAACATCAAGAGTTGATTTTGACTCTCTGGCCTCGGTATTTTTAGGTTTATAGGTTGGGCTGAGCATGAAGATTGAGCCATTAATCTTTTAAGGAGAGCATGCCAAGTGCACTCCTCTTCTATTTGATCTAAGGAGATCAGTAATAATGTTATTCAGTTAGCTACGTATCTGCTTCTCACAAACAAATGTGTCATGGTAACAGATTTCAGCTGGAATGAGAGCAATTTATGAAAGTATATAGATAAAATGGTATTCATTCACAAGTTGCACACCAAACAATCAAATCTCCACTCATCTGGGTCTTAACACGGACACAGAGGATTCAAATTGCTGATAAAAATAGCAAGCACACTGCAAGACCCTAGCACTTGCCTTATTTGCCATTGTTACTTTAGGACATAAAAATATATTTGGCTTGTACCCTGATAATTAGTTATGTGAAAACTGTCTTTATAAACAGAAGAGAGCAAGGTCTCACAATTTTCACATAATTTACAACCACATTTTAGTAATGCACAGCTAAAACAATTATATTTACATGATTTAAAATGAATATTTAACTTGAAGTGGGCTGTTGAGTTCTCTCAAGTCTCTAGAGTAAAATGAGATAAGAATTTTCCAATTGTCTCACGTTCATACTTCTGCTCCACACTTTTCAAACATACAAAGCAGGGGCAAATTTCATAAATCTTCTTGCCCTCAAATTAAAGCTTATATAGAATGGATTGCCACTACTATTTTATGATGAAAAAAGGTAACATTTGTATTCCAATAAATAAATCACAGATCGGACATACATAAAATTGGAAAACAACCAGCTTTTATGTTATCAGGTATTTTAAACAGAAAAACAAAATTTTCAAGATTCAATCAATAATTATAATCCCACCCTCCAATTTTCTTTTGTTTAAAAATATCCAGTAAATATAGACAAAGTGATGTGTAAACATAGAAACAATAGTTGCTTACAATCACATCAATAGCACATAGAATAGTTACGCAATAATAAATTTTTCTAGAACCACCAGTAGACTCAGTAAAATTCCTTTGACTTTTAACTCTACATGAAACTCTTTTCTGTGTGCAAAGTACTTTCAAATTTCTCTTAAATTTCCTCCATAAAAGGGGTTCATGAATACAGAAGTTCTCTTCATTTCTCTAGTGTATGGACTTTTTCAAAAGATCGTCAAAGTGAGTTTGAAGCCACTCAGCATAAAGGACTGAAATGGTGGCTGCACTGTCCCATCTCAACCTTTTTATTCCTCTCTTTTCTGAATTCTACGATGCAATTCCTAATATTCCAACCCTGTGCAAACTCTTGAACATTTTCTTATCTATTTTTCCCCACTATCTTTCTAGAATTCTACTTCTAAAAGTGAAATACAAATTTTCTTCCTTCATACCTAAACACTATAAAATCAAAACTTCTCTTTCCCTACATAGTGTGAATCTGCCAAGGCTTTAAATTATCAGTGATTTATCAGAGATAGATTCCTATCAATATGTGTTTAATTGCCTTGCATCCTTCTTAATTCCAAGTAGCAACATTCAACTAAAAACTCAAATGCTTAATAAAGTGTAGAGATTTCCATTAAGTTACAACATTAATCTTTTCAGCAGCTCTTTTCATTACTGTGCTACCCTACCTACTTCCTACTAAAATATGGCAATATGTCCCTGTGACATTTTCTTAAAGAACACTGTTGCTTTGTTTAAATAGTTCCAAGTAATTCAGCATATCAGCTGAAGTATTATCCTAAAAGAATCTTCCCTAAGGGTATTTGACAACAAAGTGGTAGCATTAACAGTAACATAACAAAAATCCACAGTATTTCTAAGCAGAAATTAAAATGATGCTCTGTAGAAAATGTAGAACATCATGCTATATGGTGGCACTAAAATGAAAGCTTTTGGTATTGAATCCATTCCAGCTCATAGTAATTAACAAAAAGCCACATTAATTCCAACCCATTCTCGCTTTTATAATTCACAATTAAATTCCACTACTCACCCATTTATCTACATCTCCACAAGATAGATTCTCAGCAATTTTTAACTTCTCAATAATGACACATGTGTAAATGCAGCATCATTATTTTAAGCCTTAAAACGGGGGGGGGGCATTTCTTACCAGAGCCTCTTTTGGTCACAACCTTCAAACTCTGAGTAAAAGTAGCATATAAGAGAATCAAATGCGGAATCGGAGCTTTCATCTTCCAGCTCTTAAAGGCTGTTCCCTAAAGAAAAGATAAAAAGAAAAGCATACATTTTTAAAGATATATAGCAACATTATAACATTTTTCTGAGACTTTTGATGAAGTATGATTGGGGCAATGAATTACACAAAAAGGAAGATCATGGAAAGGATTTCTATTCCATTTCCCATATGTTGTGGTCTTTCAATTAAGTCAAAACCAGTAATGCCAAATTATGTCTCCGTGGGCTTCTCAAAAATGCTTAAAATTTTATACTCACTTAAGGTTTATGATTTCTCTTTATTTAGAGGCTTGAATTATATTTAAATTGGTGGAAACAATCCCTTCAAAAGAACTATTATACAATATAATTATGTTCAGTGTCCTTCTTTCCAATGAAGGTGAAATCATAAATTTTGTGCCTCTAAAGATTTAATTATGATTTTGCAAATATCTTTCAAAAAACTCGAACAGATACTGCCGGAGAATGTTAAGGTATTTCTTTCTGCTGAAAGAAGGTATACTGTTGATGAAAGCTACAAAAGCAGCCTTTCTTCTTATTACAAGGTTCTCTCGGCAGGCTACCAGAAGAGACACTACACTAGTGTTTGACTTTCAAAAGGAGGAAACATTTCACTTGAAATTAGCTATATTTACATTGTCTTCCTCAGAAAAGTGTCCCTCTTTTTTCAACATTTTGTGATATAGTTGAGAACATTATCCATATTTAAGTCATACCCTGTGATGGACATATACATATATACCTTATGAAATGCTTATCACAATCATGTTAGTTAACATATCTATCACTTGACATAGCTATTGTTTTACCTGTTGGCAGAATACTTAACATCCACTGTCAGTAAATTTCAATTATATAATGCACAGTTGTCAACTGTAGTCCCATGTTGTATATTAGATCCCCAGAATTTATTACTTTTATAACTGTAAGGTTGAACCTTTTGTTCACCGTCTCCCCACTTCTTTACCTCTCCTCCCAGCTTTTGCCACCCACAACTCTACTGTCTGCTTCTTTTCTTTTCATGCAAGACTAAGACAGGAGAGCTGAGAGACTGAATTTCCAAAAAGTGGCAAGTCAGAAAATAGTTCAAATATAACTCATGACACAGCACAAGATTCTCTGAAAGACAGATCATATCCAGTTTTCTATCACTATGACTTTATTAAGGGACCTGAAATGGTGGCTTGACAGTCACATTTATTCCTCTTCCAGAGTCGTAGATGCCTCTGAATATTTTAAGTGATTAATTTATTCACACTAATAAAATCCTGTTCATACACATTTTAATTCACAAAAAAGTGAAATCCATTAACTTGTAAAAACATGTGATCATCATCACTTTTGACAGAAAATCAGAGAATTTATAAAATAGCATTGAGAAAAAAAAAACTTTAAAAAAAATCCAGCATACCTTTAAATGGTCATAGCCTGCTTCAGTTTTCTAACCAGTGACCTTGGGTTCATATAAAGACATAAATGAAACCTAGCCCAAAGAACTGATTCATCAGATAGAAACTACCACATTCAAGTGCAAGGCTGAGTCATGTATTCCTAAAACCTCAGTCCCATTTCCAGCCACTGCACCCACTGGAGCAGCATGAAATCTTCAGGCTGATATCTTCAACCTTCAGGTTAGTTGTGAGAATCAGTTCTTTCTCAGTGTGAGTTTAATCAGCGCTTCCCAAGTAACTCGAGGATTCAACTACATACTGGAAGCCCTATCTAGCTTAACTACTTTACAGTTGTTCAAAATACTATTTCCTACTCATTTCATTTTTATAAGGCATACAGTGAGTTTGCAGTTCTGTTTCTTAAAATTGAATTAGTTTAGAAAGTATCAATTTGGTAACATCAAGATCCTTAATTGAATCTCTTGAAACTGTGTATGTGGGGGGGGGTTACATGTACTTAGTGTCTTTGTCAGTCTATGATGAGTTTTACAAACATCTTTGAGGAAATTAATTGTATGTTAAATTGAAAGATTAAATGTGTCAAGTCACAGAAATCCAAGCTTTGCTCTTCTGGTGAAAAACTTTATATTGTAACCTAGAAATAGCCATGCACACTATATAGTAATTCCCCCTTAATGGCAAGGGATGTGTTCCAGGACCATCGGTGGATGTTTGAAGTCACAGATAGTACCAAAAAAGTATGCATCCTATGTTTTTCCTACATGTACACACTGATGATAGATTAATTTACAAATTAGATGAAGGGATTATGTACTAAAAACAATATACTATGATAAAAGTCATATGACTTGACTTTCTCCCAAAATATCTTACTGCACTAACCTTTCTTGTGGGGATGTGAGATGATACAAGGCCTATGCATTGTGATGAAGTGAAGTAAATAATGTGGGCAGTGAGTCAGATTTAGGTAACTACGGAAAGGTGAGTTGCATACAAGCAGGGCAATACCATCACGGGCAATCTGATTACAGAGATAGCTGCAAAATGACTACCAGGTGAGTGACATACACATCATGGATGGTGCTGGCTGAAGGATAATTCACACATCCCAAGTAGGACTGAGCGTGAATGTGAGATTTCATCACATAACCCCAAAGAACACAAAATTTAAAACCCATGAATTATTTATCTATGGAAATTTCACTTTATATTTACAGAACATGGTTGCCTGTGGGCAGCTGAAGCTATGAAAAGTGAAACTGTGGATGGGGCGTACTCCAAACATTTCCTGATGTTCTCATGCATTTATTTATTGTCGCATAGTAGTTCTTACTGTCAGTGAACTGATTTTAAAAGGCTTTCATATCTGGATGGAAGGGCCTAAAACTGCTGGAATAATTCCTACAGAGATTACCATTCCTCTCTTGGCTTTACATAAACCACTATTAAATCCTATGCACAATGAGGACATCATAGTGTAAAGAGCAGTAAGTTCTTATCTCGGCTAGGTTATTATCTTGTCATTGCCACCTAGCAACTGTATTATTTTGGGCAAATCACTTGTCCATCCACTTTATGGCCACTTTCTTTATTTGCAAAATAAGTATAAAAGCATGCACATAGTAGCTAGAAAAATACTGTCACATTGAAAGCACTCAATATAAAAAAGCTACTGCTGTGTTACTGTGGTTCCTTGTTATTGACAGCAGCAGCAGCAGCAGCAATAATACTGTGATAGACTTCACTCCTAATCTCTGAAACTTGTGCATGCCTGGTTTTTTTACATCCAACTGCACAGTATCAGTTTATGTCTTTATTTAAATAGCTTTTTATCCTTCTAGACTTGAAGTCTCTGAAGGGTAAATGTGTTTTATTTAACTCTTTATTTTCAATGTTCAATAAATGTTATCAGAAAAAAGAATAAATTAATGAATGAAAGATTGAGTGTGGTTGCTCTTATATAGAGTTCAATTTCATCATTCAAACTCATCATCTGATAAACACTTACTGAGTGTACACTAGTTACAAAATGCGGTGCTATGGTGCCATGGGAACGCAAGGATGACGCAAGGCAGTCTAATAAAGGAGGCTCACAGACCAATAAAAAAGACAAATGCTCACCTAATTAGACTGATCCTATTGCTATATGGTGAGTAAAATGTGCTGCGGGAGTAGAGGAAGGAATCTACTAATTCTGCTCCAGGTTAAGTTTGATGGAATCAAGGAAAAGCCTTTCAAAGGAAGAAGCTTTCACTTAAACCATGAAGGATAGACTTTCAAATAGAAAGAGAATTTAGGGTCCAGAATAAAGAATGACTGACATAGCATGGGGACCTACATGACACTCCCTCCCACCACCAAACATGTACGCATCCAAATCTCTGGAGCTTGTGACTATGCTGTTACAAAGTAAAGGCACTGTGCAGATGTGATTAGGATTTTTAAGTGGGGCGATGCTCATTCATGTATGCCCAAAGTAACTACAAACTCTATTTTAAAAAGACAGTCGAAGAATGAGAGGAAGAGAACATAAGTCAAAGTCAGAGATTCAGTTGATATACTTTGAAGATAGAAGAACAGGCCATGAGTGAATGAACATCTGTGGCCTCTAGGGTAAGAACATCTAGGTAAACATTGTCCTGTAGAATCTTCAGAAGAACTGCAGGCATTTCATCGCCATGATGTTAGACCATTTTTGCATTTTGGTCTTCTGAACTCAATAAATGTAACATTAAAATAGAAGGGAATTTTAAGCCTTTAAATTAGTGATGATTTGTTAAACACAATAGTAAACTATTACTGCAAGGATGTGAATGGTAAGCCTCAGGAATGACATGTGAGTAGACTACAAGTACTAAGCTATAATGACAGAAGTTAAAAATGTTCAGTATTAATGACAAGATACGCTAGGTAAAAACTTCAGATTTTTCCTTTGTAACTCCTAGAATGTATTTTTTAGTCTTTTATCAAACTTCATCATCCAAGAACATTTCATTCAACTTTACTCTTTTAATCTATTTTTAAATTACAAAAACACATATTGAATGTTTCCTCAGAATATATATAACGGCTTACCTGAGGATCCACCTGCCTTCTTTTCATACAGTCCTAAGAATCTTTGCAGTATAGACAAGGAAGATCAATAGAAGCTCATAATAAAATTATTTAAATTGTTCTATAAAACATAGTGTGAAAATTTGAAAAAACTAGCTATCAGGAAGAAGTTCAAGAAGAAGTGGTACAAAGTCAGACTTAACCCAGTAACAGTAAATGCTGGGAGTAAAGATTTAGAAATATACAAAACACGGAGATATTAAAGGAGGAGGTATCGAAAGGCAATTTCTAAAGTAGATATGAGGCATATAATTTATGAAATATGCTTCATCATGATACTGTCTTCAATATATTGAAATAAAAAAGAACCTTTAACAATAATTGTGAAAAAACACACAAAATTATATTTGTGTCTTGTTGAATTTAAATTAAAGTGCTTGTGGTATCTCATGCTAGAATTGTATTCAGTCAAAATATTGTCGAAGAGCTTAGTACAGTGGTGAAGGATAACAACATTATGATTGTAGCTAATTCAAAGTCACAAATTAGGATAA